TCTGGCCCTCATGAGCAGGCCTTCAGTAATCTCCATTGCGCCCACGAGGCCTTTCTCGCGGAACTTGGCAGTACTGGCATCATGGTCACCATCATCGCCGGCATACTCAATCCAGCGCCACTCAGCGCGGGCTATCCTATGGCTCGTCCTGCTGCGCATGCGATGGGCATCGGCCCCGGAGCCGGGCAACGGATCGAACGGCAGACGCGACTCGAGGAGTGCATACAGGAGTACGCCCAGTGACCAGGCATCCGTAGCACGACCATCATAAGGCAGACCCATGATCACCTCGGGCGCGGCGTAGTCTTCTGAGCCGCAGCGCGTCTCGAGCTTTTCGTCATCGGCGATGCGACGGGATAGTCCGAGATCGCCTAATGTGATGACCGAGTAAGGATACGTGACCCAATCTATCGAATCATCCGCAAGCTCGGCGGGAGATGGGTTCACGAGAACATCTATGAATCATGTTAGCAAGCCCTTTGTGTAGACTGTATGAAACACGCACTCTCTAGCTTGATGTCTCGGTGACATATCCGTCGCTCATGCAAATATTTGACCGCACCCACCAACTCGGCAAACATCCTCCGCAGCAACGACGGCTTGAGCACCTCTCGGTGGCCTGTGGCTACATCGAACAGATCACCGCCAGGGCAGTGGCTGAGCACAAGTACAGCTCGCGTGGGCTCGATCGCCCACGCCTTCAGACGAACCAGTGAAGGATGATCAATACTTTGCATGATCTCCAACTCTCGCTTGAGACTCATCTCGATGCGCTCCTCGCTCGCACCACCTCTAGGTCCATGTTCGCACACCTTTACTGCGACCAGGGTTTTTCTGGGAAGCTGGGTGTGTTCAAGCGTTGAAGTCTCAGACTGCGTTGTATTCGATGCGTCGTCTTCATCGGCACTCATTTGGCTCGTTGCCAGCATGACACGGCTGAACGTGCCCTGACCCAGCAGCTTGACGGCCATCCATCTTCGTTTCTTCCCGTCATTCCGACCGTAAGCCTCGAAGCACTCAGCTTGGGGTTTGGATTTACTGCCGGCGGACGAATCGCTTTTAGACGACTCACTGGGGGGCGGGGTAGGAGGTTGGGCCACTGTCTGTGCAAGGCCTCGAGACTCGGCCAAGTTGACCTCGCGCCTGATGTGCGGCTCAGCAGCCTCCGCTGTCTCTTCCGGCTTGACATGGGAGCCTGAGACTGTGACATGTCGCCTCGGTATTGACGACGGCTCTGGTATGTATTCGCTTACACTTCGGTTACGTCCATGTTGTGGGCCACTGTGGCTGGATGCACCGGTCTTGCCTTCAGTGCCGTCAGGTCCGAGGCCAGCATATACTTTTCGCTTTGAAGCGTTGGCGAGGGCCGCCGCTATTGACTCGCCTGATGCAGAGACCAGGACGGAGTCGGGCGTGGGGTTCGGCATTAGTTCGCGGGACGGAGGTCGAGCGCTGAGAAGTTTCCAAGGACCGGGGGAGTCTCCGGACAGGAGAGGAGACGGCAGGGGCGTAACGTCTCCCAGGGCGGATATGACAGGGCTCGGAACGCAAGAAACTGGCGTCGAAGGATTGCCAAATGCGTTTGCGATGGCCCTTTTGGTGCTCGGCGTCCTGGAGACTGGCTTCAAGCTCGAGGAGAATGGTTCGTGATACGAATTGAGGCTTTCGCGGCCAGAGGAGACAGCCTTGCCACCGCGTGACTCGATATTGATAGGGGCAGTCGGTCGAACGTCAGTCGCGATCCGAAGAGAGCTGTGGCCAGCAACAGTACCGGAACCGTTGCCAGAGTCCTGTGTCAAGAATTCGGGAGGCGGCGGCGAAGGACTTATGGTGTGGTCGTCGAACTGAATCCGGGGGTTCGAAGAAAAAGAGGCCGGATTGTCGATGCTCGGAGTGGCATTGTGTGATGGGAATTTGGGCACGAAAGGCTGTTGAACGGCAGGGATTGAGGTATCGTCCGATGCGTTTTCTGGTGTTGAACGTGTCGGCAAAGGCTGGCTTGAACCGGTGCACATGGTCGTTTGTTACGAGTCGAGTCGTCGTAGATTCGAGTCGTCTCGAGGAAGAGCTCAAAGCGATTTGTCGCGGAGGTACAGGTCGGCGACGATGTTGAGCTTGTGGAGCGGAGGGGGAGGGGTGGCAAGGCCAGGTGATCCGCGACGGCGGCGCAGCACGGGCGACGGAAGCTAGCCTCCTGTTTGAGAGCAAGACAGCAGGCCTAGGTCAGTCTCCGAGATGGTCCCAATCATAGAATCTGCAGCAAACAAGGAGATCGCGAGGGACCTTGCTGGACCTACCTACGTCCTTGGGGATGCAGTCAAGTCAATGACAGACCCTTGGCTGGGGAGGGAAAGCCACAGGCAAGCACCGAAGGCTCGAAAAAAGAGGGAAGGAGGGGCGCGTGTTGTTGGCTACTGATGCAACATGAAAGGCGTCGCTTGTTGGGCGGACTGGGCTGTGCTATGCTGTGTGTCGGGGCTGGTGTTGAGACAGCGGGCCGGGCGGGGAGCTGAGGCGCGGCAAAGCGCAAAACAGATGACCGACGGGGGCGGGTTAGAGGGTCCGAGATGCAGGAAAGATGAAGGTCCGTCTTGGGGGGATATCTGACGGAGCCGAGCTAGCTGCGAGTCGGCGGCGAGTGACGTCCTTGTCGTGGGAAGAGCGACAGCAAAAGCGACGGCGGCAGCAACTTGGGAGAGAGAGAGGCGAGAGAAAGACTTGTCGATGGCGCCCCCAGACCCTGTGGTTGGCGGCGCTGGGTTGACAGAGGAGTGGTCACGTTAAGACCCGTGTTCGAATGGGTAATTGAACCAGAAGGGCTAGACTTTGAGTCCAGGCGCAATAGCGCAGGGCCAAAAGGGGACGATTGTAGGGATGTTGCGACAGGAGGATGAAAGGATGGGGCGCCTTTGTTAATGAAGCAAGGTAAGTAGGTACCACGTACCAGAAGTAGGTAGCATTAGTAGGCAGGCAGGGTGCTATTGCAGGGAACTTGAAAGGGTTTAGGCGCTCCCCTTGCTGATGGGATGACCTGAATGTCAAGCCACGGCAGGCCGAGTACATGTAGAGGAAGCGGGCAAATGAAGGTAAAGAAGGAGGGCAAAGTCGGAAAGAATTGTTGAGGGGGCAGCTGAGTCGACAAACAGATAGGCAGACAGAGGAGACCAGCGACCCTGCTGGCAAGCAGCAAGATAAGGCACCCTCCTCGTTCTTGAATCTTGTAGCAATGATGGGGGGCGTCTGAGATGGCCCAAGAGTCTCCCCTCACAGAGGTCCCTCACAGAGGTACCTCACTCACAGACAGCGCAGCGAGGTGCTACATACAAGATAGGTAGGAAGGGGCAAGGGGTGTTGTCCGCCCCACATTTCTTCATCGAAACAATTTGTGCGGGGCGTTCGTTGTGCTTTCCCATTGGCTCTCGTTTTGATGGTGGTGGTCAATGGCACAACATCTCTACGTCGTAAGGCTGGAATTGCGGTCGTCTTTTCGATTCCCATGTTTGCCGATGCGACTTTGTCAAGACGCTCCTCCGTCAGGGTCGATTCTGTTGGAATCTGAGCACCTGCGATCTGTGATTGAGTATCGAAGTGAGATCGTTCGCACACTCGAGGCCTATCCACGATGCTAGCGCCAGCTACCCCGCTGCCAGAGAGAAGTAGAAGAGAGGGTCATGAAAGGGAAGGCACGTTCGCGACTCAGACTAGACCGGAAGCCAAATGGAGAAAGCCACGCTAGACTAGTACCTGCCTCGAAGCTCATCTCCCGCATACGGCACTGGCCTTGCCGGCATGCCGTCAAGTACCTTTCTACTGGGTCAACACGCAAGAGACACCACTTGGTTTTAGCGACCCACTCCACCGGCGACGCTCTCAGTGAGCTCGCCGGGGCTCGAATATTACGTTACAGCGCAGCATGCCCAGCCAGTCACCGTCCCCAGACCAGGAACGCCCGATTGTCATTGGGTAGGAACTGGCCGTTTTCATGGTTGCTTCCTCGCCTGCCACCGACGCCGCTGCCGTCAGCGAACGCTTGCAGGAAGGACCAAGGACCTGCTCACTCGGTGGGTGGGTAGGTAACCTAAGGCAGCCAGAAGTCCATGTCAGTGGTTGCAGTGCAGTGCGCTCCCCTCTCTGACCTGTCAATTTCCTCCCGCTCATCGTGAATCACTGGCAGTTCCTTCCCGAGGCGACCGAGTGCCAATCCGGACAAGAGGATCCGTCGTATATTTATTCAATAATGGGGGCCCCTCTGGCAGGCAGGCACCACCGAGTCGTGTATGACCTACGTCATCGAGATTCGTTTTACTGTACTGATGGCTATTCCGTCCTGAACGACCAGCCTCAAGCGGCTCTGGTTGTCCTGCAGCAGCACCACCATAAGTATTGCGGGCTGGGGCCTCAAACACACGCCTGGAGAGCAGATCACTATCGAGATGCATGACAACAAAGCACAACCAACCTCACTGTCGATTCTTTCGTGGGAGCAAGCGAAAGCTGCTTCAACTATCAACAGCAAGCCAGCGGCCAGCCTCCCAGAATTTGGACATCAATACTACTCTTGACAGTTGACAGACGCGTGTCCGGGGTCTCGATGTTGTCGCCAAGTGTGTCCTCGTTTCACCGACATTGCTTCGTTTCCCTTCGGTGGTGGGTGCCTGGTCACGAAATGACAGGCACGGCAAACCCATACAGTCGATGTCAGGTTGATATAGTTGTCGGCATTCCTAAAATGACGTCGCGATCGCCTTGCACTCATAGCTATACAGCTATGATTGCCTTCAGCCCGCAATTGATGTTTGCGTAAACGCTTCACTCCTTTGTCTGCAATCGAGACAGACGACCGTCCCTTGGCACGCCATTTTCATGCGTATTGGTCAACCTTCCATCCCACTTCGCTTCAGCTGAAGTCAAGCCGCCGGCCACTGCTGGTTGCACACTGGTGAGGTGAGTCTTCTCAACCGTATGAAAGTATTCCTGCGTGCTGATTGTTCTCTACAGCTTCATTGAATCCCCGGCCGAGGACTGTAGGTGAAGTCTGTGCCTATCTCAGCCACGTCGACTTGAGTTTCTGTCCTGCCGCTGTTGTTTGACACCCCACCTGGTGCCTCATGAGCTGCCACACCAATCCACGATACTGTATTGGGGTAGACGGGGGCAAAAGCTCCCTCGTTTTCATGCATGCAGTTCGCTGAGATTAGCCAGTCCAGCTGCGGCTCTTCGAAGTCTTCGTCCATCCACAGCCACAAAGCCAGCTCTTCCCTCTCCGTGTCTCCAAAGTCACTTTCGCCATTAGCATCGTCCTCGGTCTCGAACCCTTTGGCAAGTGATGCCGACTTCTCAGCGAAGGCTGCAACTCGGCGCATGCGATATTCATGAATCTTGTTCGCTTTGTTCGATTTCCCTGTCTCCGCCAGCAACTTTTCCAGGTTCCCTAGTGCTGTCATGGAGAGCCGCTCGTCAGCGTTTGACGTCAATGCGATTTTTACTGCCATTTCAAACGAGGCGATCGCTGCTGCTGTGTTGCCGATGTGGAGATACTTGACCCCAAGCTCGAGGTGGATTGCTGCTGTCTGTTCGTCTGTCAAGGCATACGCATTCATGTGGCCGGTCAGGATTGCAACCGCCTCGTCCAACCTGCCTTGACGCTCCTCGCACGCTGCAAGAATACCAGCATGCGACAGGGCCAAGTCGCCAATCCACGGGTGCCGCTTCCCGGATGCAGCAGCGCGGGCGAGATGCGTCGTTATCATTCCCGCACAATCCTCCGGCCCTCGACGAGAGAACACGCAGTCGAGGTAGTCGCTGTATAACAGATGGGTCAGGAAATTGGCAGGTCCTGTTCGTTCCTCAATGTCCGGCAACAGGAGGGCATACAACCTCATCGACAATTCGTAGTAATCAGAAAGGTTGGTGGCACTCAAGCTCCTCCATATTTGTGCCAAGACGTGATGCTGACCGAGGACGATGGGCATCAAGCCGGCGAGGTAATCAAGAACCAGACGCAACAAATCGTGTTTGTGGTGCCGGTCGAGGTACCAAAGCAGGCAGACTGTACGCGCCACGAAGTCAGGGCTCTCAGCTGCCACAATCTCTTTCAATGACTCAAAGGATGGACCAAGGACGCTGTTGATATCGATCTGGTCACCTCGCACCATACATCGATTGACGAGGGCGAAACTGGCAATGACCCTTTCAAAAAGCTCGTTGCTGCGGTCTCCGTTGTTGAGAAGACTGCTGCCACAGTCGACGTTGTACTCACAGAACCAAGCCCCCGACGAGAATGATCCATCAACATAATCGCGGAAGAGACCCAGAATCTTCTCGACGCCATACAAATCCGCTGGAGAGTTGAGGACCTGGCTAGGAGCTGGCGACGGGGTTCGACAGGTGACTTCCCGAGCGGTCTGAACGTTGGGCTTGTGTCCGTCGCGTAGTTTCGCGACCAGCGCAGGGTTACGTTTGACATAGCGTTTGATGTTTTCAAAGTCAATAAGCTGGCCGCGGATCCTGAACTCCGTAGGTCTTTTGAGCGCATCTCGATCTCTTTTGAGAATAAGGATGGCGAGCACCTCATCTCCCTTCAACTTTTTGTCGAGGCCCCATTTCCATATACGCGACTTGTACATTTTGACCCTAATCGACGCGTATGAGTGAGGGCATATAAAGATCCAAGTGGAAAGTGCACAACTTACGTGGCTACGAAATGGTGGTCCCTTTCCATGATCTCCATAACCTCTCTCAGAGATTTCTTCTCCTCCTGGTACAGTCTTGTGATAAGAGGTCTTTTACTTTCCCACACCTCGATTGGGACTCGCTTGCGCATTTTCGGTTGTAAGGCTTGGTTTTCTGAATTATCGCCATCAGAACCAGAGGGTGGTACCTTTCCATTGGCGGAGAAATCAGTTGCCTTCATGGCTGTGGTTGACCGTGGCAGTCAGGTCGCGGGGGGGACGGTCGTCCTTCAGTACACTTTGCCGCACTCAATCAAGGTCGGGCTAGATGTTTGAGCCTGTAGAACATAGTTAGGATAGTTGGGCAATGCTCGAAGATATGAGGGATAGCGCGGAGGGATGAGATGGAGTGCACAAACTCACTTGCATTACCTCAGCCCAGTCAATCATCGACCTTGGGGGCCAAGTGCGAGCTCACACAGTATGATGAGTCTGTTGAGTATCCTCTTCTGCCTAGTTCTGGCAGCTCACGTTGATACATCCACAACTCTTCTTGATGTGCTGCGGAAGGATGCAACACGGACATTTCACTCGCAGGACAGCGGCTGCAAACAACGAAACCTAACCCTTTCGAGACCAATCAATAGCCACACGGTGGAAAGGGCTCCCAGCATGCCCCTGCTAGTAAAAGGGGCACATCCATCAGGGATGTGTCTTGCGGCCGGAATCCTGGCGGCTTGGGTCAGTGGGGTTGTCTATGGGGATCACGGATCACGGCCAGGTTGGAGTGGAGGTAGAACTGGCTTGAGCCAGATGTTCGCTCAACTTCCCACGATCGAGCGACGAAATTCTGCCCCCACCCATTCACACCAAGCAACCCTCTGCCGTACCAAGATATCACATCTACCACCTGGCTTTCGCCTGAATATCTCCTTAAAAGTACATCACCGGATACTCCTAAAAGCTCATACCGCGTGGCGCTGGGTCACTGGCCGTCTGTTGAGATCTGGTAGACAATCTGCTCTTTTGTTACTCCATCTATATCTGTCCTTGTCAGCCTTATCATCATGGCTCAGTCAGACAGATATGGACACCCAGAACGATCGATCCACGGGAGCTGGAGTCACGCCCGAGAAATAACGGCCATGCTCCCAAAGCGTCCTCGCATGGCCTAGCTGGGTAACCGCCCTTTCCACGACCTTTCCCATCAACTGGCGAGCTTGGGACCTAATCACCAAATCCAGAGGCCTCAACAGGGGCCACGTTGCGGCCATCCTCACATATTGCACACACTGCGAACACCCACATTGCCGAAGGCGGATACATCGTGGTTTTGCTGTATCCGCACCAGGTCGCAATCGCTAATCTCAATAACTAATTATCATCACTACGACGAAGTCTGGGTCATTGCGGCGAGCGGCTGTCTATTTGTCTTCGCAACACCACCCTGGTGTTGTGTTGGAGCGGCCGGCGTACCCCACGTTTCTTGCGGAACGTCCTCATGTGTTTCTACTGACTGACATGGGTCCTGGCACGCACGCGTTCCGCGGTGTGCTGCAGGTAGGCAGCACAGCCGCATTTCAGGACCAATTTCTTAGTACACAACGGTCGACATCTGCGCCCACCACGGACCGCTCGTCAGAGCTCCAAGGATGCAGAATTAGATCCACGTTGTGACGGAAATTGCACCCTGTCAGGTGCGTCAGGCATCTCACGGAGGTCAGGGTATGAGTCAAGCTTGCTAATTAGCCCCTTTGCCTACGCCCTGCCAGCTCAACCCCGAGTAAGCAACGTATAGGCAGCAGAACACATTAGAATTCAACGATATGAAGACGCCAACATGGCCCAAGACCAGCTGTCAGCCCTAAGCAAGGCTTGATCAACTTCGACACCCTCCGCTACCTCCAGGCAGTTCACCGATGCTTATTCTCCATGCAGGTTGTGGGGCTTCAGGCGGTCAGCCTGTTGAGTCGGGAGTCCTCGGTGACCAGAACTGGCTCTCTGGTTCACCCACAAGCATTATGCTGATTGGCAAGCAGCCGAATTATGATTAAGAAACAGAATCGCTTACGCCTGGTGCACCTTCAGATTATTACATGGTGCTCATTGCTATTGTGGATAAGGAACCGCATTCAGGGGCCAAAGCAAGTCTCACGAGTCGGGCACATGAGCATTGATACGACAAGACTCACGTCATGTCAGAGGGAACTTACGGGCCAGCCGCAAGCGACAGCGATTTTTTGTTCTTGCAACTACTGTCCAATACTGGTTGCTGCCATTAGAGGTGTAAAACTGAACACTGGAGTAAGATCTGGCCTGGTCTCTACGGGCCATCTAAGCTACAACATGCTAGCCAGCCCGTGAAGACTCGTCGGCAGGACCCGCCGTCCTCTTGACGCTCTTCAGTTGCTAGTGGCGTGTTATGCGTCAGTTTTCGCATATCGGCCTCTCTCATTTTCACCCGACGTAGCCTCCCTTGCCGAGCCACGAGCTGCCCTTGTTCGGCTGCCAGCTCGGAAGACAGCCAATCGCCATCGCAACTGAACTGGTCTCACCCAGTCTTCATTGGTCAGCAAAAACAATTCCTTGAACAAAGTCACATCCATTGCCCTTGATACACAAGATGAAGGCTGGACCATGACCTTTAGAGGTTCGTTGCCGCCTTGACATCTGCATTCAGAACTTGTTCCGGGGCAAATGGGTCTTCCGTCATTAGCTGCCAGACTTCTCAAGATTCCTCTGTATATCAGGAGCTTGATTCTTTTGTGGTGCATGCCGTCAAGATGCCGCATCAGTTGCAAACTCCGATCGTTCTGACTCCTGGCGGAAGCAACTTCTTGTACGTACAGACTGACACGCTCGCTGTGGAAAAGAGGCGCAACCATTTACTCCTACGAAAACTTGACCTTGACACCGTGAGTATAGTTCTGCACGTTGCTCGGAGCCCGGAGCTTACTGACACAGAAAAATGTCAGGCAGCTGCTCTTGATACCCTACAAATATCCATGGATCCCAATGGCCCCGGTGCGGGCAACTCAAAGGTCGACTCAGCCCCTGAACAGAAAGGGAAGGGTCTGGAACGCCCGCCCATAATATTTGATGGCCTTCTTCCTCGGATCGAGACACGTGGGCAGAGCAGAATTTCCTCCACCAAGAGCGGCAAGAAGAAGGACGACATCAGCAGACCACAGGATTGCGTCCATCAAGATGAGAGCGTGAGTTTGAGCGATGCAGCAAAGCGTTCTGAACCAACGGCGGTTGACGACACTGCAGCCTTTCCAGCTTCACGCCAGGAGAATCAAGATTGAAGGAAGCTGGACAAGTTGGCGACAAGGAAGCATGTTCAAGGTTGCCGCAAACAGTGCCATCATACCATTTCTCGGGTGTCTCATCAGCTTATCGACATGGCTTGTTGTCGGACTTGGGACTACTTCATGTGTATGTGTTGGCTGCAAATGGCAGTGATGGATGGACCTGGCCACGAAATAGCAAAGCACAAGATCTCATCAAGGTGCGCCACGAAACAACCGCTGGCCTCAACTTCAATGGTATCTTTTCTGGTATAACCTTCAACAATCAATGAAAACTCCAGCAGTCTCGCTTCGCAAGTACGTTGCAGAGTGACGGGTCAATAGCAAGAGAGATCTGGGCCAGACTGGAAGAGTCCAAGCACTGGCAGCAGAACATGGCCGCCGGTCGAAATGGGGCAGCCGGCGATGACTCGGAGATGTAACATGGTACCCTGGTTCTCCCCTCCGATGTTTCTGGGTCTGCCCCGTCATCTCAGTGGGCTGTCGCAGGAACGAATCCTGATGCAATGGAACCGGCCCCCACAACCCGGGCTGTCAAGTCACCGAAAACGGCAGTGTTCCTGAAATGGCTACACACTGGCTCCCAGTGAGCGAGGGTCAGGCGGTGACAATTAAGAGCGAGCGACATCAACTCACGACGAGGGACCCTTGCACAAAGCCCGTAGTAGCTGGATGTCCATCTCAAAGCTGTCATTGATACTGCCGACCAGAAAGGTTGGGACAATCGTGCAGCCCACGGTGTACCGCTAAGCAAACAACCAAGTGATGCGCAACCCAAACATGGCCACACAATAATACGAGTCAATTGGGCTGACTGTGTGGGCGAGGCGAGCGTTCAAAGCTCTGAGCATATCTTCCTGAGGATGGGATCCTTGCAAATCGACTCACGCTGACCATGCGCCCCTCTCGACAACTCATTCGACAGGGATTCCACGTAGCTGTGAATCCATCGTCATTGTACAAGGCGGAGGGCTCTATTTCTCTACGACATACCCAGGCCTGGACCGTATGACGACCAGAGACGCGGCTTTGTGTCTTTGGCCTTCGGACCATAGGCCATCCATAGAAAAGGGCATGCCGACATCTTAGCTACATCATTCGAGGCTGACGTTTCCATCTCGAACGGAGATCCTCTCGGCGCGTCTCCCGGGCCCGTCCTCTCTTTTCTCGCGTCGAGCAAGTCGTTCGCCGGGACCCCAAGGGCGAGTAGACCCAGAATACCAACTATTCAGTGTTCGAGACAGGGTCAAAACGGAAATGACCCCCACATTTTGCGATGAACAAGGGTTCCTAATTATCCCTAAAGGATACATGTTGAGTCCCTCACATCTTCTTTTCCTGCTGCGCCGGCAGTACAGCAAACATGGATCTCAATGGGGCTCACTAGAGGATTGGACTTGCCGGACCATCGGGTTACCCTATTCATCCTTCACGGCAGCGAACGCGCGGCACTCGGAGCCGGTCTATCGTGGTTGTCTGTACAGGCCCTTGAGACGTGTGTCTTGAACAAACATACCTGGTTTTGGTGGCATCTCTCAGCTGCGGAGCCTTGATTGATACCCATGGGCAGTGTATAAGCCATCGTATATCACTTGTCACACATGGGACGTGGTCTGAACGTGTCGACGTCGGATCTGATTTGGTGGCAGAATTGGACATTTGGCCGGCCGGTGTGCATTCGCAGACAAATGCATCTCACGAAACAAAAGCAACAAGATTTGTGCCTCAACTCCCAGTAGCCGAGTCGAAGCGCCGGCGTAATGTCACATCTGCCACGGGCGGCGATGGCGGTCCAGAAGCCGAGTGGCCGGGCCCTGTAGTCCATTCTTCCCTGAACCCTGTAATATTGCTGTCGACTATTGTTGTGGGTGTTGACACCAGGCGTCCTTCCCACGTAGCGTCCAGGCGCTACTGGGACTCTCGATGGAGATGGGGGTTTAACGCACGCAGATCGAGTCACTGTTCTTATTTTGATGGGTGATCTTGATGAGATGGTACGAAAGAGCACCACATTGTTTGCCATCGTTTCGTCTCTCACTGACAACACGCCAAGCCCAAAGACCCGAATCTATGTTAACTTTGCAGAAATATACGCCGTCTCGAGTCACTTTCGGCAGCGGAGGCTTGCGGTGTCTCCCTCCGCCTCTCCGACCTTGTGCAAAATAGCGATTCTGTACAATCATACCTTCCTCGTTGGGTGGGGGCGAAAGGAAGATTGCCCGTGCATGTAGCTTGGGAAAGCTGCAACCAGAATTGTGTCTTGCTGCTCCCCTCTTCGGTCAACACCGAAAATCGAGGTGAAGCTGAGGATCCATAACGGCACGGACGCTGTTGTTTCGCCGGCTCTACGACCAGCGCAGGAAAGGCCTCTGGAAGATGGGAAGGGATCTTCATGAGGTTGGTATCGCCCGAGACCACACCGTCTGCCCCCGTGGGTACACCTACTCAGTCATCACGACGATTCTTTGGGTCAATGTCACTCCAACGGAAAATGGCACTGGGCTGCCCACATCGCGCTGGACACGGGTCATCCGCGGAGTCAGATATGATCTCTAGTGGATGAGGTTCTTTCGCCTCTCAAATTCAGGCCCTGCCCTTTCGCCCGGCCCCCTAATTGCTGCGCACGACGAGGTGTGATAGGTCGAACTCGACAGGATTCAGATGCTGGTCGGTAGGTGCACGTCACTCTGTACCGCAGCATGCCATGGCGATGAGACAAGCCACCGTTGCCTCGCTGCTCGTGTCTCGACATTCTCGATTGGTGACAGCAGCACAGTGCAGTTGTCCAGCGGGTAGCGATGAGGATCATGTTTGGGCCAGGACCCAAGAAAAATGACAGGTATGTCAACCGGGTTCATGAGCCCAGACCCACTGCAGCAAGTCCCTGGGTCGCCGTGGTCATGGCAGCGGCTGATGACGGGCGTCCGGGGAGGATGGAGTAGCGATCAGGAAGAGAAAGAGGAAAGATGCAAGGGAGGTGACCCGGCCGGCCGTCCAAGCTGGCAGAGGACGGCGTGCGAGTGACTTCTGACACGCAGGTCCCTGCTGGGACTTGTCGATGAAGTCTGTTGGTGAGTCTGGCGGCTGTCTGGTCTGTCGAAGCTGAGCTCTTGCTCGCTTCAGCCTGCTGACGCTCGACTGGGGCGGTGACGCGGCGGATGTCTGTTGGTTGCAGTCGTTTGTCGGGCATGGCCTGATGCCCAGCCGTGTCGTATCGCCTGGACGGCGTTGAAAGCGCAAGTCTCATCTCGTTGCCCTGTTCCCTCACACCATGATCGACCGAACGGCAACGCGGCTGCGCGTTGTCTATTGCTTACAAAACCAGCCAGCGCCCAGCCTTGTCGGCCTCCACCCCACCACTCGTCTATTCACACCTAATCGAGGTCTGCAGCGCACCCCAGGGCCAGGGTGACTGGGCCATGTCATCGGGCCAAAGGCAGCCTGGAAAGCGAACTCGGTGCCCAATACCCCGGGAACCTCAGCAACGCCGCCCAAAGCACGGTCGGCGGCCGGCCGGTGAATCTTGACGGAAGGAGGCCTTGTCAACCCACGGCAAGCCGGTCCATGGCTCCTTTTGCAAAAAGTGACAAGCCCCGGTTCAGCAGTACGAACGGGCTCCCGTGGCGTGGCCCTCGCCCGACTATAGTGACACTGTTTTGTCTCGAAGAAGTTGTCGAGGACGAAGGCGTGGGCCATGGATGGGTTTGCGAGGCGAGTCCTCCGGGTTGCTGAGCGGGGAGGACAGGCGTTGATGATGCCCCCCCTGACTCCATTGACACTGTCGCCAAAGCAGGGGTTGCCATCCCTCTACATTTCTCTGGGTACGGCCAGACTGTTGGCCATCAACGCGTGCGTTCTTGGTACTCGTTGCTTGACTGTTCTGCACTTGGCAAGAGCCAGGGCGGGCAAGACGACAACAGATAAGCAGCCTGTCGAGGATGTCTGCCTGCGCCCAGAAACACACACATGTCAAGGCAGCCAAGCAGGCCTTGCAGGCAGACAGACCTGGCATCCTCGCAGCCGACCATGTGTACATCCGTTCAGCACAGCGAGAGGAAGCACCTCGCAGCAAAGGATGGACCGTTGGGTAGGCATCTGCTTGCATGGTTGTGTTCAGGGTCCGGGGCGCCCCCGCAGGGTGACATGCCGAGTGGGGTGACGGGCGAGGCCATGTCTGTCCGGCGGTTGGGAAAGCAGGGAAACGTTACCTCAGGAAGGACCCGAGAGTGGCAGCCTGCGGAGGTTCAGGACCGGCACGCATGTAGGCATCGAGGTGGCATCGAGGTGGCATCGAGGTGGCATCGAGGTGGCATCGATAGGCGATGCCGCGAGGATCATTGCCGTTGGGAGAAGTGCATACGCGGTAGAGGGAGCCGGCGGTGGAAGAGAACTCTTCCTGACTGCCTACGATGCCATGTCAGATGTGTCGTCGGCGCGCTCGCAGGGGCACCAAGCACGGCGTGGCGCCCACCTGCTGAATGCAACCAGCATGAAGAGAGACAAGGGGCTGCATGGCGTTCTTGAAGCCTTCGGTCGCAATGTCACGCCAGGTCTAGGTCTATGACTATGTATGATGTCAAAGGAGAGCCTTCTGTGTGCTGCCTGTGGTGCTGAGATGCTGGGATACTGGGGGTGATGCTGGGGGGTTGATCGAGGGAGACATGGGACGTTGCCCGAGTCATGGAATAAGATCTTGGCGAGGGCGCATGACCACTGTTTGCTTATGTCAGACCGAGAGGTGACGGAGCCGGGAGAGAGACGTACCCGATTTGTTAGAGGGCCCGAGAGTGTGACGCGCTGATTGGCTCGAGTTTTGACTGGTCCTTAATTGATTCTCCCCTCCGACGCGTCTCAGCGCGCTCCAAACGCGTCTCTCTCCGTCTCTGTGACGACCTTGGCTCTCCACGACCACGACCACGGCCACGGCCACGATCACGATCACGATCACGACCACGACCTTTGCCATCACGTCGCTTCGCCTCTTCTATCAAGCCTCG